TGCATAAAAACGGAGAAGGCACCAAAACTACCTTTCAGATGGAACAATTAAACTTGAAAATAAGGTTAAATGTGTCACAAAGATGTATTCTCAAGGTTTGCACCCAAAATGTACTTTGCATGGCCCTTTAAATAAGTGTTCGGTCAGACATGCAAGAAAACGTTTTTAAACGCGTTTTAATAAGAAATTACCAAAATGAAGTGTTCCTGATGATACAACCATTGCCAAGCATATGCCCCGATGTGTTGCACGTCAAGAAATCGTCAACGTAAAGAAGCCCCTTGATCAAACAAGTAAAAGAGTTCAACAATGAAAAAGAAATAAAATAGCCAAATTCATTTCGGTACATCTTGTATCCTTCATATCAGTTAATTTGTTATATTGTAAATTTTACAGTCACCAGGATCTTTTTGGGGGAAATTAACCCTAGGAGGAAAATATATCAATTAAAAATCTTATTAATTAGAATTACCAAACGATGAAAGTGATTGCCCATAAACGAATAAGAAACGAAAAGTATGATAAGCGCATGGACGTTCGCTAATTCATGCGTCAACCGTCAAAAAGTTGCAAAGAATTTATTTAAGAATGCACAGAGTTAAGTCTTGAATGCACTAAAACGCAATAGAATGTCCAAAAACAAACACGAAAATTCAGTGATGATCTTGAAATTGAAATTGAATGCCCCAGAAAAGAAACCCCAATTTGATCACATGTGCAAAACTCACGCGAAATTGAATGGCTGATAATGAAATTGATTGGAAAAATTCGGAAATTGGCCGGGAAAACCTATATTTAGCCTAGAAAACAAAAACTGAGGAAAACGAGGTGTTCGTAAATTGGGATAAAAGGTACCGTAGGTGAGGGGTTGGGTCCCTTAACATGGGAGATTTCAAGTTCAAGGAAATTCCCAGCTATTGGTAAATAAAAACCTTTTAAAGTAGACGTAATTATTGTACCAACGGTAATATCTTACTGTGGGGGATTTCCTTGAACCTGTTCAAGTCCCCTACTAACGTAGGGGCAACCCTTCCCCTAATTTTTAGACCAATATAGGGACACCTCATTGTTTCCCCCCTTTTTGGGGGGGGGGGGGTGGCTTAATATGAAAATGCTATCATTTTTTTCACATAATTTCCCATTTATTTTTGTTAAGGTAACTGTGTCAGTCAGTGGCGTAGCCAGGAATTTTTCAGTGGGGGGCGCTGGGGGGGGGGGGGGGCTGGAACATTTCATGGGGGGGGGGGCGTCATGCAGGGGCGCCAATCGCTTCTCAAAAGGGGGGGGGGGCGGACATACCTTGATCAGAATTGATGCGAGCGCGAAGCGCGAAGCCCTTACGGCGTGGGTTCGGGGCCCGCTTAAGGGCCCCGAAAAAAATGGATTCTCGATGCTCTGTGGTGTGATCTGAGGCAATTTCTTACCACTTTAACCAATAATTATCTTAGCACAAAAGATAATAATTTAAACATAATTTTCGAGGTTTTCTCAGCTAAAGGCATAAGAAATTTTTTTGAACATTGTTTTCGAGGTTGGAATCATTGAATCAGCTACCAGAATTCTGAGCTTTAGGCGTGGGGTTCGGGGCCCGCTTAAGGGCCCCGAAAAATTTTGGATTCTAAATGCTCTGTGGTGCTATCCGAGGCAATTTCTGACCACTTTAACCAATATTTGTAGTACATTGTAGTACGTAATAGGGCCATGTAAATGAGACACGAGTTCAAAAATCTGGGGGGGGGGGACATTTGATATTGTGTCCCCCACCCTTCAAAAAGTGGGGGGGGGGGGACATGTCCCCTGTCCCCCCTCCCCCCCAGGATTGACGACCATGGCGTCATGTAGATCAATGATAATTTTTTTAGAAACTCAAAATCTCAGTGGGGCGACAAGGTTTCATGGGGGGGGGGGCGGTCGCCCCCCCCCCCACGCCCCCCCCCCGGTGGCTACGCCACTGGTGTCAGTACAGTAAGTGACGTGAATTTGATGCTTATCTAGTACTGAGGTTTAGCGAGACTCAGACCGTGATGATATCTGAGGAAAAGTGAATGCGCGCAACTTATATGGGAACAAATGAATTCCACAGCTGGGATTTAACGATTTATGCAAATTAGGCACCCTTCGCAAAAAAAAATTCAGGGCTCAGTATACGAAAATACCAAGTTTGGTGCTTTGGATCAGTCGGTTACGATTCCGACCATTCTGAGCTTTAGGCGTGGGGTTCGGGGCCCGCTTAAGGGCCCCGAAAAATTTTGGATTCTAAATGCTGTGTGGTGCTATCTGAGGCAATTTCTGACCACTTTAACCAATATTTTTTAAGCAAAAGATACATTGTAGTACGTAATAGGGCCATGTAAATGAGACACGAGTTCAAAAATCTGGGGGGGGGGGGGCATTTGATATTGTGTCCCACACGTAAAGTGGGGGGGGGGGGGGGGGACATGTCCCCTGTCCCTAACCCCAGGATTGACGCCCATGGCGTCATGTAGATCAATGATAATTTTTTTAGAAACTCAAAATCTCAGTGGGGCGACAAGGTTTCATGGGGGGGGGGCGGTCGCCCCCCCCCACGCCCCCCCCCCGGTGGCTACGCCACTGGTGTCAGTACAGTAAGTGACGTGAATTTGATGCTTATCTAGTACTGAGGTTTAGCGAGACTCAGACCGTGATGATATCTGAGGAAAAGTGAATGCGCGCAACTTATATGGGAACAAATGAATTCCACAGCTGGGATTTAACGATTTATGCAAATTAGGCACCCTTCGCAAAAAAAAATTCAGGGCTCAGTATACGAAAATACCAAGTTTGGTGCTTTGGATCAGTCGGTTACGATTCCGACCATTCTGAGCTTTAGGCGTGGGGTTCGGGGCCCGCTTAAGGGCCCCGAAAAATTTTGGATTCTAAATGCTGTGTGGTGCTATCTGAGGCAATTTCTGACCACTTTAACCAATATTTTTTAAGCAAAAGATACATTGTAGTACGTAATAGGGCCATGTAAATGAGACACGAGTTCAAAAATCTGGGGGGGAGGGGGGCATTTGATATTGTGTCCCACATGTAAAGTGGGGGGGGGGGGGGGGACATGTCCCCTGTCCCTAACCCCAGGATTGACGCCCATGGCGTCATGTAGATCAATGATAATTTTTTTAGAAACTCAAAATCTCAGTGGGGCGACAAGGTTTCATGGGGGGGGGGGGGGGTCGCCCCCCCCCCCCGGTGGCTACGCCACTGGTGTCAGTACAGTAAGTGACGTGAATTTGATGCTTATCTAGTACTGAGGTTTAGCGAGACTCAGACCGTGATGATATCTGAGGAAAAGTGAATGCGCGCAACTTATATGGGAACAAATGAATTCCACAGCTGGGATTTAACGATTTATGCAAATTAGGCACCCTTCGCAAAAAAAAATTCAGGGCTCAGTATACGAAAATACCAAGTTTGGTGCTTTGGATCAGTCGGTTACGATTCCGACCATTCTGAGCTTTAGGCGTGGGGTTCGGGGCCCGCTTAAGGGCCCCGAAAAATTTTGGATTCTAAATGCTGTGTGGTGCTATCTGAGGCAATTTCTGACCACTTTAACCAATATTTTTTAAGCAAAAGATACATTGTAGTACGTAATAGGGCCATGTAAATGAGACACGAGTTCAAAAATCTGGGGGGGGGGGCATTTGATATTGTGTCCCACACGTAAAGTGGGGGGGGGGGGGGGGACATGTCCCCTGTCCCTAACCCCAGGATTGACGCCCATGGCGTCATGTAGATCAATGATAATTTTTTTAGAAACTCAAAATCTCAGTGGGGCGACAAGGTTTCATGGGGGGGGGGCGGTCGCCCCCCCCCACGCCCCCCCCCCGGTGGCTACGCCACTGGTGTCAGTACAGTAAGTGACGTGAATTTGATGCTTATCTAGTACTGAGGTTTAGCGAGACTCAGACCGTGATGATATCTGAGGAAAAGTGAATGCGCGCAACTTATATGGGAACAAATGAATTCCACAGCTGGGATTTAACGATTTATGCAAATTAGGCACCCTTCGCAAAAAAAAATTCAGGGCTCAGTATACGAAAATACCAAGTTTGGTGCTTTGGATCAGTCGGTTACGATTCCGACCATTCTGAGCTTTAGGCGTGGGGTTCGGGGCCCGCTTAAGGGCCCCGAAAAATTTTGGATTCTAAATGCTGTGTGGTGCTATCTGAGGCAATTTCTGACCACTTTAACCAATATTTTTTAAGCAAAAGATACATTGTAGTACGTAATAGGGCCATGTAAATGAGACACGAGTTCAAAAATCTGGGGGGGGGGGGGGGCATTTGATATTGTGTCCCACACGTAAAGTGGGGGGGGGGGGGGGGGGGACATGTCCCCTGTCCCTAACCCCAGGATTGACGCCCATGGCGTCATGTAGATCAATGATAATTTTTTTAGAAACTCAAAATCTCAGTGGGGCGACAAGGTTTCATGGGGGGGGGGGGGGGTCGCCCCCCCCCCCCGGTGGCTACGCCACTGGTGTCAGTACAGTAAGTGACGTGAATTTGATGCTTATCTAGTACTGAGGTTTAGCGAGACTCAGACCGTGATGATATCTGAGGAAAAGTGAATGCGCGCAACTTATATGGGAACAAATGAATTCCACAGCTGGGATTTAACGATTTATGCAAATTAGGCACCCTTCGCAAAAAAAAATTCAGGGCTCAGTATACGAAAATACCAAGTTTGGTGCTTTGGATCAGTCGGTTTCGATTCCGACCATATGCAACTGCATATGCATTTCGCGATATCGCAGCTCGCGCTCATGTCCGACTTGTGAGTACGGCCTGTGTATCGTGAATATCCGACTCCATGAAATGTGGACGCATTGGTAGTACTGCGCACGCGTGAGTACGATACTATGCTATTTTTAGAATCGTTTCGGGAGAGTGACCTGTCACGTGCGAGGGATCAAAAATAGGGGTCCGATTTTCATAGGAGTCGGATTTTCATGTGACACCGGTAACGAAACTTGAAATTGGACGAGAGAGGGCGTTATTGTTTCGGTCGTTAATTATTTTGCATACTCGCTGCGCTGAATTTAACAAAATGCCCGAAGTAATAAAGATACCCAGTGATCAGGAACTCAATGTACCTGTGCTTCCTTTAACATCATCAGCGTTAAGAAGTGGTGCTCATCATCTCGCAAGACAATGTGATAAGCCAAACAAGGTAGGCTAGCTGGTTAGGCGCGAGAATGTCGGTCACTTTGGCACCTAGTACTAGCCAACTCGGCACCTGCCAACTCGGCACCTGGACAACTCGGCAACTGGCTAGCCCCACTAGTGTGGCCGCGGTAGGTTCAGCGCAGCATACCGCGGCCACACTAGTGGGGCTAGCAACTGGCTAGTCCGAAAATTTGGGACTCTCAATACTGTGTAGTGTGAATGACTCTGAGAGTCCCAAAACTTAAGGTATCCATATCGTGCAAAAGTTTGTGCTGCATAATAAAACCAGTGTGAATCAAATTTGCAAGCTTCTTACTCACTACAGTTTTTTTCAATAATCCCTGAAACTTTTGCCTCGCAAAGTTGCTGTTGTGAGCATTGCCACACTAGCTGGAGTTACCCAGCCCTGAATTTTATCATTGGGTTGTCATCTAGGGCTGGAGCTAGTTTTTCACGTAACCGAGCAGCGTAGGCAGGTCCCCAAAAAAATTGCGAAAATTTTTGGAAAATGTTCAATTTTGTCCAATTTTCGCAATTTTTTTTGGGACCTGCCTATGCTGCTCGGTTACGTGAAAAATAAGCTGCAGCCCTAGATGACAACCCAATGATAAAATTCAGGGCTGGGTAACTCCAGCTATTGCCACACCAAAATTTCAGCTTTAAATTCTAATTTTACAGAGAGTTAACAAAATCCAAACGTGAGACATCATGTTGATGTGTGCTGCAATGCATTGTGCAAAAAGACTCCTCAGCTACAACATTTTCATCGTGTAGATAAAACAGCGCCCTCTTGTTGATCAGAGTGAATTCAGAATGTTTCATTTTTTAACAGAGGGCGCTATGTTCTTTTGGCCATCGATTAAAAAACCAGTAAGCTGCAAGGCACTAAGTGCATCTACCAGAGGGCGCTATGTTCTTTTGGCCATCGATTAAAAAACCAGTAAGCTGCAAGGCACTAAGTGCATCTACCCAGAATACTTTGTAAATCACATGCACGTCTTCAGATCGTGGAGAATGACATGGATGGTTTTTGAACTGCCAAAAACCTGCCTTAAAATTGGATTTAAGGTCTCAAATTTCGCAGGTGACATGCTTGCAACTAAAGCATTTTGATGTATGTGTTGTGTGGGCATTAATTAGCCGAATGGTGAGTTAAAAAGTGTCAGTAGTAATTTTGCACGTTTTCATGCACTCACGGTCCCAGTCTGGCAACTGGCCAACTCGGCAACTGGCCAACTCGGCACCATTATTTTGCCTCTTTCTCACAACTTCCAACTCGGCACCTGACTAACTCGGCACCTGACCAACTCGGCACCTGACCAACTCGGCACCCGTCATCCCGAATGTTTTGCCGTTATTCACAACCCATACCCCATCTCGATTATAGACTTATTTATTTAATTTAATTTAATTTGGGGGGGGGGGGGGCTGGAACCGGTGGCGCTGTGCGGCCAGGCGCGGCACTGTCACCGGCCGTGCACCGTTGTGATGGCTGTTGGGGATGTGCGGCCAGGCGCGGCACCGTCGCGGCCGTGCACTGTGGCGATGGCCGGTGGGCTGTGCGGCCAGGCCAGACGCAGTGCACCGTTGCCATGGACTTGGAAGGACAAGCGTTGACCGGTGATGGCCCGCGCTGGGCGTACAGTGCTTGCTACCCGTACTCAAAATATCGGAGGAACTGGCAACGAACGTTGCATTCTGATATCGCCAGTTCCATTATTACCAGCTCAATGAAAATCAGTAATGTGCGGACTGAGTCTAGTACTGAGAAACATTTCGAATTTTGCACATGGGGAGGTGCTGAGTTGGTGGGTGCCGAGTTGCCTTGTGATTTCACCCAAGAGGAATCCAGGAAGCTGTGTAAATGTCGATGGGGGCGCTGTTCAAAACCAACGATTATGCACACAAACGGACAATAGGCCTATATGGTGCTTTTAACAGCGATACATGCGCGAAATTATCAAAAAAGGCACCCGCAACGACCGATGACACCAAAAAGGCCACCAGTTACTTTTAAAAAGGGCACTTGTTAAAACAAGTCAGGTGTGTTTACAAACACAAATGCCCCGCAACCGTGACTGTTCCCATGACATACCGGTACCACTCTTTTAACATCAACTTACACGTACCGTACCTTGGTCACATGGAACGTTCATTGAGGTTTTATATGAATTAATCCCTAATCCCTATGATCTCAGAATAAATACAAGATTTTTATTGTTTAAGCCATTGTGACCTTGACCCTTGATCTTTCGACCCCCAATGCGATAAGCCTATTTGGATTACCAAGAACGATCCACAAACCAAATTTGAAGTTCACAAGTAAAGAATTTCTCAAGTTATCGCGCTGACAAAATTTCTTTTGTTTTAGCCACTATGACCTTGACCCTTGACCTTTTGGCCCCAAATGCAATAGGCTTCTTAGGATTGCCAAGGACAATCCACAAACCAAATTTGAAGTTCATATGTAAAGTATTTCTCAAGTTATCGCGCTGACAAAATTTCTATTGTTTTAGCCACTGTGGACCTTGACCCTTGACCTTTTGGCCCCAAATGCAAAAGGGTTGTTAGGATTACCAAGAACAATACACAAACCAAATTTGAAGTTCATATGTAAAGTATTTCTCAAGTTATCGCGCTGACAAAATTTCTTTTGTTTTAGTCACTGTGACCTTGACCCTTGACCTTTCGGCCCCAAATGCAAAACGGGTTGTTAGGATTACCAAGAACAATCCACAAACCAAATTTGAAGTTCATATGTTAAGTATTTCTCAAGTTATCGCGCTGACAAGATTTGTCCGGACACACACACACACACCCACACCCAGTCGTTTTTTGCTATGCTTCCGAGGATTGGCTTTGTGTTTTCCTTTGTCCCTGTAATATAACACTCTCCCATAGACTAAGCACACAAACCTGCATTCGAGGACAATAGGCACCTTCCTTCGAGGATCAATGGCCCCTTTGTGCTCCTTTTGTTGTCTGTCCTCAGGCGTAATGCCATGCAGGAACACACCCACCCACGAAGAAAAAGGCGGAAACAGTATGCCCCTTCGGCTTCGCCGCGGGGCCAAAAAATAGGGCACTTTTTACAAAATATTGGGGGGGGGGGTTAAGCGCTGGTGAAAAAAGGGCATTTGAATAGAAAAGGGCAGTCTTTACAAAATATTGGGGGGGGGGGGTAAATACCCCCCTTACCCCCTGTTGGCTACGCTTAGGTTATTGCGCATAAACAGTCGGGACTCGCTTATGCTGACGCATGGCTTTTGCGGGGTCAACACGATGGCAGAGCCGGCTGCTCACAGCATGACACTTGACAGTCGCACAGTAATAATTAATGTAGAATGTACATGGACGAATGTTGAAGTACAAACGATGAATTCATGAACAGTCACACAGTACAGTCAACAGCCGAGACTCGCTTATGCTGACCCATGGCCTTCGCTGGCCGGTCAACACGACGGCTGACGTTTGGCACGCACGTGATGAAAGTCACACAGACACAACAGTGAACACAGCCAAAAACAATCCGGAAAAATCTCCATTCTCACACGACATCCTGCCGACTATGCCAGTGTAACGGCTTCTTCCATCACTTCAGGTTCGGATGGTCAATGCGGGAACAGAAGACAATCACGGACAGTTGGCGTTTACGATCGACAAACAATCATATTTTAATCATACATGCATCAACCAACAGGAGCCATCTTGACAAGCTACATCTCTTTACCCATAATGCAACAATCCTAGTATGTGGAGGCTAAGTGTACAATATTCAAAAACACTTTAACATCCCGTTACAATGCAAATCGATCTTGTCGCTCGGGCGCACGAGTTGCGATGCGACAGCTGTTTCTTGATTCACCCATACTGTATTGCTTCGCACTATAATACTATTGGTTGAGAACTTGTACAAGAAACAGCCGTCGCATTGCAACTCGCGCGCCTGAGCGACAAGATCGTTTTACATAAGCGCGAAGTCACAGCTTTGGGGTCATCGCTTCTTACATTCAAAATGGCTGCCATCAACAGATGATTTTCATGTGCAAATGGGCTCCAGAAAGATTCAAAAATTTCTCGGAAAATTGGATATTAGGACACCTAAGCATTCCAGAAGAGAACAGCAGAGACATCATAGAATACAACCATATGTAAGAAAACTTGCGTAATTTTTTGAGAAACCCTCAATGGTAGGGAGAACCTGGCGTGTGGCCAGAGATACAGCGCAGCAATATCGCGACCACTCTAGTGGGGCTACTCGTACCCGATTCAACTCGTACCCGATTCAACTCGTACCCGATTCAACTCGTACCCGAGTCAACTCGTCCCCATAGTCATCTCGTACCCGAGTCAACTCGTAAAACAATTACAGTCATTTTCCTAGTTCAGGATAGCAAACAACATTCAGGCTGCTTTCGGCTCAATTACTCCACGAATTCAAGCGACATTGGTTAAAAAGTTTAACTTGAGTGATGGAGATAGGCCTACCACGTCAAAAGTACCGATGCCACTTTTCCTAGTTCCAGATCATTTTAAATCGATCAAAAACTGCTTCGCACGAAGAAAAAAATCAAGCAAGAAAATCAATTTTTCAGCCAGAACCACCCCGAATCAAGCACATTTTCTAATAAAGTGTTATTTAATTTTCCAAAAATAGTTCATTCAAGAGACTTCCAGCAAATTTTAAAAAGAGAATTAACGTAAATGATTTTGAAACTTTTGTCTGCAGCGCAACGGCATGAACTCACGCACGGACCGAAAACCTTTGACCCAGCACAGAATACGTCACACAAAATTGATTAATGCGCGTTTAGTTGGGTCATAAGTGCATGCGTGATCTGGAACTAGGCAAAAACATACGGTCATTCGTTGGCGAATTTTAAAATATTAGAGACTCTACAACTTATTTTGATTCAACAAACATTCGATGGAAGAGTTTATACGACTGTAGTGTATGAACAAAATTTGAAATCACACGGTACGAGTGATGTACCGAGGAGAAAA